AAAGCAAAGTAGCAATTTGCGCGCAGTCTTTAGTTTATGTCTTGAAATAGCTTCAAGTCGACATCATATATTTCCATGGAAATCAGCATTGATCAAAAAAATCACGGCTCAGCTTTCAAAAACTGTATCGTATATTGACTTTGATAGATTTCAATTGAGACAGAAAAATCGATAAAAATAGTATTCTGTACAAACACTATTTTTGATCTTTTGAAACAATCTGACCAATTCCACCCTAGAAGAAAATTTTGAACATATATTCGGACATAGTGAAAAATTCTATTGTTAACCTACTAATTTTTATTCTAACCAGTTGTCTTTCAGTGGTCAAAAAAAAAATGGGTGAATATTTTGTGACAAGACATTCACGATATAGATTAGACTAAATGGATAGAAGTACATGATAAAAAAAAAAAGTAGTCAAAAAGATATAGTATACAGTCTTCAAGATACTTGTATTCTACTCTAAACATTTCTATTTCTAATTTCTTATTACATTCTCTTCACAGACTAGAACAGATATGGAGTCAAATATTATCTTTGGCATATTATGACATATTTCAATAAACAGGTTTTTTTTTTGCTGCCACTGATATTACTCAAATTCTCTTGCTTAATATAGAATTATCTTCACTTAATATTGATAATGTTTTTCTATTTACTTGAAGTGCAAGAACGTTTGTTGAAAAAGGACATCGAAGTATGACTGTTTCTTTTTATTTGACTGGTAAACAACGATCCGGTGTTGTTGCTGTTAAAGTTCAAAAAGTATATTATAAATATTTTCTCTTATTCAACGAATAAATACAAATACTATTATTATTCTAGAATATTTGTAATAAATTTGTCTATGATTATATTATTGTTCAACTTGATCAACCATGGCATAATCAAAATATAATTCAAGTTCATTCAAATGTCAATCCACCATCTTTTACAACAAAAAATATTTCATCTTGAACTGTAGAGTTTTGAAAATAATTAGTGTATATATATAAATTATTTTAAAAAAAAAAAACTATTTTTTTTATTCAAAACATGGTCGTACAGTCGTATTCATTGTTTTTACAGTTTGATTATCACGATCAATATTTTCAATTTGTATACCAATACGATTATTTTGTTTAGTTTTATCCAATTGACATCTATGATTCATCATTGATGATGATGATGGACAACAATGTTTACGATATGTAAATATAATAATAGAAAAAAGAATAATTAATAATGTAAGTGCTATTAAAGCACATAATAAATAAAGGATTAAAGTTAATAGAGTCTGACCAGGAGATGAAGATAATTGTTCATCTGATAAATCATCTAATTTCCAATAAGGTATATTGAATAATGTTGTATTACTTTCATTTGAATATAATTTTGTACTCCATGAAATTGATGTTGTAGTTAAGATTTCTGTTGTATGAAGATTATTACTTGTAGTATTTACAATGGCTAGAATTACAATATAGGAAATGTTTATTATAATCATTTTTCTTTTCATCCATGAATCCTATCATTTTATTCAAATACAAAGTAAATCCTGCGAACCAAAATGCTCATAACTCGGTTACTGTATTTTTTTGGTAGAAATTCTATGACATCTACTCATAATACTCTCATTCAATGCATGATGATATTATGTCACTCGTTGAAGATGTGAAAAGACACACATTTCATTGTTGTAGATCTACATCTTTTCATGTAGGCATAGTTTTTGGTCGAAATTCGAAAAGATTGTCTTTTTTGCAAATGTACGATTCTCTAACAAAAATTCACTAGACACATTTGATCTTCTTCGCAACAAGCCATAGACGTGCACTATTTCTATAGTAGACAAAGTTTAGTAAAGTCCTCAAGATACGCGAAATCACGAATAAAAAGCACATTGAAATAACTACCAATGGTATGTGATACATTCTAACAAAATATTCACAGAGTCATAATTCAAATCAAGAAAATATTCATGAAACATATCGTATAATAATTTCTTAGAAAATGTTCATCATTAATATAATGATCAAATTTACTTACCAATAGGACAATTTTCAATTAAAATATCATCAATACCAAACCAAACTGAAGGATTATTTTTCTTATTTGGTAAATGTCGAATTTCAATATCAATCTAAACAAGAAATAAACCTTGTATATATATATTTCCGTTTTTTTTTTGGTTAATTTATTGCATACTCGAAATTCTTCTGCTGCTTTAAATGTAACATTTCCTTGCTGCCAAATTTGATCATTATTTTCTGATGAATTATTTATATTTGTTCTACTTTTCCATTGACCTATAGAAATCATTCGTGTTCGATTTTTTTCAATAAAATAAATTTCAATAAGATCATTTTCATTTTCAATATAATATTGAAATGTTAATCGAATATCAAATGAACATAATGGAGATAATTGTAACCATGATGACATAATTGCATCAGTAAAACCAATTCGTTTATCTTCTTTACTTTCAGCATCAGCAATTAAAACTATGAAAAAAAAAATTTATATTAGAACAAAAAAACAAATCAATTGAATACCTACCTTTATCTCCATTATCTAGACTTGTAATATGCCATCGTCGACCAATACTCCAATTACAAGTACCAAAAGAAAAAGTACATAATTGATTATATTGTACAGAATAGATAAGTTTTATTATGATAACGAATATTAAATCTAAGAAAATAAATTTATATGTATGGAATCTAAAAAAAATAAATTTAGTAAATCTTACATATCTTCATCATCAATGTTAATCGAACAATGAATTATATTTCTCTTTCTTTTTAATGATTCAACGATTCAAATGAATATATGTACATAGACAAGCCGACATGTTAGTAGTATCATTATCAATTGCTTTTTATTGACAAATGGATCATGTAATTAGCCGATTGACGTTACAATGCAATGATAAGAAAAGAAATAGATTGTTTCTTCTAAGCAACCATATCTATTCTTTATTTGAACTTTTATTTATGTTCAAATCATTATATTACAAATAATATAATACTGATAATTGTTTTTTTCTATTTGAGATTTAATACATGACTGTAGAAATATAAAGAAATACATAATAATTGAAGATCATTTCGAGAGCGTATTTTAAAAACGATACTTTTATTTGTAATCGAAAGAAAAATATCGTAACTATTTCAAATAAAAATTCTTTGATTTTTCATTCAGGATATTTTCTCATTAGAAAAGGTGCTGAGTTCGAAAAATTTGAACCACACAAAACAATTTTATCTGTTTGCTTTTCAGCTTTAAATATTATTTGAATATCTTGATGATTAATATTCACTGACATTAGAATAATTTAATTGAAGGTTGCTGCACAGCAACGATAGTGTCCTTCAACGACTGTTTGTGACTCATATAACTCAAGTTTGGTCACGTGTATAATTCACTTTTATATTATTTAAATGAAGGAAGGTATGAAAGGACACAGTATAAAAAACATTGCCGTTGCTATTATTTTTTATTTCTCTTCTGAGACACACAGGTATGTAGTGCGCGATATACAACATCATTGAGAGCGATCTAACGATGAATTTGGAAGACAAATAAGTTTAATTTAAACAAACAGAGAGCGATATAGACAAATTGGATATACTATGCCTTACAATAGAATATTTATACCATAATTTCGATTTCAAAAATCATCAGAATTGGTTCAATTTGTCTTTCCAATGTGGTAATGCTTATGATGCAAATAAAATATTGATAAGGTTCTTTTTATTAAAAGAGCTCACTTTATTTTGAGCAAAAAATAGCGAATAGCATGAGAGAGAATGTCTCAAATACACGTATGTGTAATTTAATTAGATGTCACACAAGTTCGTTGTATTCTTCATTAGGTGTATGATCGGATAGCAGTTGTCTGATTTGAAGAAAACTAACTTGTAAATCATCAATTCTATTCTATCATTACTTGAGTGATATGCAGTTTTTTTTTCTTTACTATCTGATAGTGAAGTAGCACATGCAAGCAGCAACATCATATTTTGACGATAAAAGCCACACATAAAATTACACAACAGTGCTGTAAGAAATAACAAAAACAATGCTGTTTTGTTGTTGTAATCTTTGAAAGATTTCTATTCAAAGAAAAAATGGCTTTTGAGTATTCACTACGAGATTAATATGATGAATTGATGAAAATCGTGAATGAGACTCTCTACACTCAACTAACACAATCCATAGTGTAGGATCGCAGAAGCTCATTTGAGAGAGTTTTCTCACGATCTAAACCAAAATGTTAAAAGATCATATTATTAAATAATAGAAAATATAGATTCCTGTTCATTTTTGGTTTCGAAATTTCAAATGTAAAAAGTATTTAAGATACGAAAGAATTCGATATTACGTTATAGACATCAAGAAATTATCAAAATCATAGGTATGTGTCTACGTAATTTGTATTGAAAACTTGTATTTTCTTCACTAAAGTCCTAGAAAACGTAATTCAAATCTGTCTATTCCTTGAATTTTGACTAGTTTTCAAAGTCCGCAGTCTGTTATACCGTTGTTTTGTGTTCTAACAACTTTTCAGGCCGTCTGCAGATAATGCAGCATATGATAAAGAATAGAGTGAAGTGAATAATACATGGGAATAGGACAGGATGGTATCTATTTTTAGTTCTCCTGTGAAACCTAGCTTAGGGAGTCGAAATGTCTCATTACATTCTTCGATACTTATCAAGAGCTTGATAAGTCATTAAGATAGGTTGGCATAACCAAACTTTGATGACTTGCGTTTTTCTTGATATTATACTTCTTGTGGAATAAATCAATATCATATCGTAGCGACGACTCTTTTTCGAGATTGTAAAAGACCATTCAGTGATATTCTCTAATGAATGCCTTGAACGAACTTATCATTGATCTATTTTATTGTTGATAATTCTATATTAGACAGCATGGAAGAAAAACTCAACGATATCGATGAGATATTTCAGTCTGGGCAACATAAGGAAGCAATTGCCAAAATAAGGACAATGATTGAAGAATCCTCGACAGACAATTCACTCTACAAGACATATGATATTCTTGGAAAATATTTAAACTCTATGGGGCAACATATGGAAGCAGTTCAAGCATGGGAAGACGGCTTGAGACATCTGGAAACTAGTGTAGAACGATTTGATGAACTTGGGAACGAGAAAATTATAGATTGGATCAATATTTCCCTTCAAACAGCTCGACTTGTTCATCGTCTAGGTAAAAGTCAAATGAATAATTAGTATTCAATATCAATAGTGTTTTTCATTATCAGGCACGGATGGACCAGGAGTATCGTACAAATCCAATCGTGTATGTTATGCTCCATCCAAAATGACTGACGCTGAACAGGCAGAATGGAAAATTGAGCAATTTCAAAGTGCAGTAAGACATTATAAAGGAGTACTTGAGCATATTCCTGAAGGTAATACGGAAATAAAAAGAAAAATTCAACTCGAGTTGGCAAGAGTTCTGTTCGATTTGAAGCAATTCGATGAAGCCGTGAAAATCTACGAAGATGGGTTCTGTGTAAGTAAAACGAAAAATGAGTTTAACTGTATGCATTCGTAGTTACCTACAAATATTCTTCTGTTCCTATCAAACAAGTAGGGTGGGCATTTTTTTTTCTCTAATATAACGGTGATCGATAATCAATTTTTAAAGTTCATATAACAGCCCATTGTCTTGAACAAACACTTCGACTAATGAATTTTCAGAGAAGAGATTCGTTTACAATGTTGAGTTATCAGATGCCCACACTTTATTCCACAATAGTCTTGACTACATGATATTATGAAAGAAAAAATTTAGCGAAAGCAAAGTATTTTATACTCTTTATCGTTGTTTTTATGCAAGAATGATGGTGATCCTGTATGGCTTTACAAAGCTGCTGAATGTTTGTGGCAGCAGGACAAAAAAGAGCAAGCCTATACAAGACTCCAACAACTCATTGGTACCGATTCTACTTTCGCAGATGCTTATGGAATGCTTGCCACTTATTTTAACGAGAAAAATGATACAGCGAGTGCTGATGAATCGATGCGTAAATACAAATTCTATTCATGGATTCCAAGTTTCTGTCGCCACATCGAATGCAATCCTGAGAATCTTGCCATAGTCGAGGAATTAAACTCTGATCGCTCATTGGAATGTGTCAACACAACGCTAGTAAACGATAAGTCTAGACGATCCACAGAATTTTTGGCGGCCATTTGCTATCATCACTATCACGGACTGGTAGAAAACAAAGCATTCGAAGAACTCGAAAAACGAGGAAAAGTATCGGAAGGTGATGAACGAGACTTCATTGGATCTACGCTTATGCACCTTATAAAAAATCATCAGAGTGTGTGTACAGTGAAAGGTGCAGCGAATGCATTGGCTGAAATGAAGTATGAAAATATATTTGACGTGTTGGAACGTTTATTACCTCAAGACGTAAGTGAATAGCTATTAAAGAAGTGATTGACAAAGCCATTATGAATTGTCGATTCATTTTAGGTAAATCCTTTCTTTCCTATGGATATACCAAAAGCTCTTGGCAAATTAGGTGATTCAAGAGCCATTCCTCTCCTTATAAAAATAATCGAAAATCCAATGCGCCAAGAAAACGATGATAGCGATTCATCGGACGAGATATTTTCTTCAGGTGGAAAAGATCGATTAGTTGTGGAATCATGCTTAGCACTTGCATCTTTTATCAGTAAGTTGTTTTGATCTCTTTTCTTTTTTATTATGTTTACTGGTTTGCCTGTTCTGAAGACGACGAAAAAGCAAAAGAAGTCTTAATGAATGGAATCAACAATGAACAAACTCGTGAAGCCTGCCTTGCAGTTTTATGCCTTTGTACAGATGAGAAACAATATTTTGATGAGCTTGAAAAGATGCTGGCACAAGGAGATAGTCTAGACTATAGAGTAAAAGAATATTTGAACAACAATGACAAAAAATCACATTATGCTGATCAACTTTTGATGCTAAATGAAGAAATTCGTACGAAGACGGCAGCACAAAAAAACGACGACGATAATGAATAATAGTTTTTTTTTATACCCACTAATCTTTTTTTTTTAAATTTTTGCAATAAATTTCTTACATGTATTGAAAGGATGCTTTAAGAATGGGTATGACAGTCACGCTCACAAGCATATCCACTCTAAGAAACAATGTTCAATGGAATCAAGTCAATTGAAAATTTTCTTATTCGTTTTGATCTCTGCTTTGAATGCAATGTCTAAGTTAAGACAATAAATTTGAATTATTAAAAATGAACAAAGTATTAACGCTGCTATTGAGACCATGACAACGCGATTATGTTATCGAATAATGAAAAAATTGTTCTTGAACAAACATACAAGAAAATGATGCGATGGACATGGAAATGTGACCATCACAGTGAATTATATGTGAAACATTACGAAATACAGAAGATGGTGACTAATTTCAGAGTCCGATAAGTTTTTTTCTGTTTGAAATGATAGATAGAGAGGAGAACTTTTCAAGGTCTACATGATGACTAATTCATGGATCACAATGTGTACATAGAAAAATTTTAAAAAATCAGGACAATCGCATTCATTATAGGGACTCAAATATAACCGGTACTAATTTCACTTTTCTCTATAATAAAAGTTAAGAAAATAAGTCTTAACATCTATTTTTTTTTTACTTCCTTTTATTTCTCTACTTTATTGCTGAACATAATAATCTTTCATATTATTATTCAAGTTCTAATTTCACAATAGAATAGCCATTACGCTTTTCTTCAATTACTTATGTGTGAGTCTTCTGATGAAAAATTGAACTCAATGGAATCTCAGTAAAAAGAACAAAATTGAAAAATACTAAGGCTATAATGATTGCTGGATTAATCCTCGATAGCACTGATTATTAGAAATTCTATTTCTGACTCGAAAGAAATCGTTGTCGTAAATATCGATAAGGATGATGCTTGCTGGGATTCTACAGCTAGACACATAATGACTGATGATTACTCCTGGTAATGTTGTGTAAAACTTGTAAAAAGTTATAATATTAATAGTATATGTGAATGAGCTAAATTTAAATATTACCTCACTTAAATTTCTATTTTGTTTCATTTAGACAATCCAATCTGATCAATGAACAGTAAGAATTATGTTATTTCAAATCTTTTTTATATTACTTGGCACAAATCGAAGAATAGAGATCATATACCCTCATTCACGAAAAAGATATATGAGTACTCTAGTAAATGCTAATATGCAGTTTTTTTGCTAATGAAAGGGAACAACTCGCCAATTTTTGCATGATTTTTGATGATATGGATTGACAGTATATTCTGATAAGTTAGTAAGCGAATTTAAAAATATTTCTATTCTGCAGAAAATAGGATTTGAATAAAACGAGAAAATGATATAAAATTAGCCTCTGAGGAATAGTCAATCTGTGACTGCTGATGACTACAAAGTCTTGCAAAGGCATATAAACTATATGAAATCATCGTTAGATATGATCATACAATGTCACAATGTCACAATAATAAATCAATATTTAGAAGAAGATGGAAATATATTAGGGCATACTTTTATTTTTTTGAGATATCCGAAATGAGTTCGATAATGTATAGAGTCATAGATGAATTCAAAATCCACATACGACATAGATTTGTTTTTATGACTAGTACAGTAAATTTTGAAAATTGACATAGATAGTCAAGAATAACCAGGTCTCTCACAAATCATTGTATCATTTTCGATTAATTCGAAACACAAAACAACGAAATCTAAAGTTATTATGATCGAAATTTGTGTACCGATAACATGAAATAGGATCTTATCATATGCTTCAATTTCACTCTTGCTAGCGTTCGTGTGCTTTAAGCAATCTTTTGTTTTTTTTCTTTATTACATTACTTTTTCTCATCATCAATGCCAGTGAATGGAAAAAAAGATAAAAGCCATCTTAAAATTTAATACGATTCAAGTTTCCTTCATTAATACCTCCCAACTATGCAGAGAAAGATGCAGTGTTCTGTGCTTCTGATTTTTATTATTCTTCTACCTAAACTAGTAAGATCCAAACCAATTAATGAATATTCATCGAACGACGAAAAAAGCTCACAGAATACAGAAAATCATCATGACGTCCTTGCTGTACAAACAAACAAAGACGCTTTCAAATTTCTCACTGAATTTGGCTACAACCCATGTGATAGTCCCACTGGTTTCAAGTCGAATGATTTTACTGGTCCATCGTGTCAAGTTAGCATGGAAAATATGTTGGAAAACTTTCAAAAAAAGTATAATCTACCTGTAACCAAGAAGCTTGATGTTCGTACATTGAAGTTGATGAATACACCACGATGTGGAGTACCCGATTCTTTATCGGAAATTGTTGATCGAAGTAGCCTCTGGTAATATTTCATTTTACTCTGTCGTATTTTCTTATGGTGAGACTAATCGTATATTAGAACATTCTATAAAATGTTGTTGCAAGATCTTTTCCAGATATTAGTTTTTGATGAGATGAATTCTAGTTTAGATGATCATTAAAAAAAATATAAGATTGAATTCTCTTTTCTCTGGTATTGCAACAAAAGAGTGTAAAAGAAAACCAAAGAAAAATACTTTTTTGTTATGTTTACGTAACTTAAGGATTTCTTCTGATTGTTTTGCTGAACAAAACACCGTGAAATTCTTTACAAATATTGTACTGAATATTTTATTAGAAATGTAGAAGCTAAAAAGTGTTCGATAAATACTAAGAGTCTCGAACATTGTTAACGTGCTTAATCACTTTTGAGGATGCATGAATTAGATTTTAAACATTATCAGAGGTCACTTTAAAGAAATAAATTTTTAACTAACCAAATTTACTTTCCTTGAATATACAAGAGTTTTGTAGGATTTTACAGATCGACAAGTCATAACCAGTGACTTCCTTTGAAATGCATATATATATAGAAGATTTCTCAGTTGGAAAGGTGGCAAAATTAATAGTTTGTAGTATTCATCGTAAAGATGTTTTCTATATCCTATAAAATACTCCGTATGCATATTTTACATAAAATTTCACGTTGCATCTTCTGCTACAATTTATAGAGAAAAAGATTGAAATGGCTTAGAAATAAATTGAAAATAAGACCATTACCATTTTTATCTGAACTACCGGATATATTCATATTGTTCTATTGTTATTAACAACATTTTTCCTTAAGGCCAAAGGATCGCATACTTAAGTGGAAATTGCATATTGGCAAGTTACCATTTGACCACAATGAAATTCGAGAAGCCATTAGACAAGCGTTCGATGATTGGGCTGGTCATGGTGGATTAACGTTTTATGAAGCAAATGAGTCTGAAACACCTGATTTTAATGTGTCTTTTGTGATTGGTGATCATGGAGATGGAGCCCCAATAAATGAGCCTACTACAGTTCTCGCTCACGCTTTCTATCCCTGGGATTTTACTTTTCGCGGACGTATTCACTTTAATTCAGTTAAAAATTGGACAAAGACGTAAGTATATTCTTAAACTATTTCGATTGGTCTATTGTTTGAATATAAAGATATGATGGAGTGGGCTACAACTTACGTTTAACTGCTACACATGAGATTGGACATAGTCTTGGAGTTCCTCATTCAGATGATTCTGATTCGATTATGTATCCAACGTACCAAGTGTTTCAGCCCGACGCCGTATTACCTGAATCGGTTAGTATAAATTTTATTGTTGACCTTCTTTTCTATGCCACAAAATGTGAGTTCTTTCCAAAAGCAAGTAAGAACTATGGAAAGGCTTAATCGCTAGAGATGAAAACGGTACTGATAATCGACTGACCACCGATAGACTCGTTTTGATCGAACGGCTTTCCTTATATGATTTCTACCTTTTGATATATATGTATATAGAATTCAGCCTCACAAATACAATCTTTTTCTTCTTTGATTAACGGGCTGTTTTACGGCATGACGTGTCATTAACTTGTCACGGCTGCCTACGATTTTGACCCATGGATCAATACAGATTTTATTAGTAAAATACTTAGTTACAAACTCGTTACTTTTTCTTATTGACGTGATCATATTTTAATTATCTGTGATACTACGACTTTTAAAATTAGAATGTTTTCTTTCATTTCTAACCATATAAATTGTTGTCCGGCGCATCTAAAACAAGGTCCACAGTACATATCCAAAGTTCATTGATTTATGTACATGCTTCAAGAGAATAAGGTGAATGACCACAACAAAGATGTGGTGAGAACACATGACAGAAAGAATCTGGGTGAAGAACGATAGATATAGTAAAAGCAATTAAATGAATGGAAGAACAAAGAAATGGCATGCATAGTAAACATAACATCATATAGAACGAAAGACAGCAGTTTACAAAAATTATTTTTTTGAAGGTTATTCTATAAGTCTCATTATATATTTCATTATCAAATGAAAGAGAATAGGCTGAGAGTATGCGCCTCACCGATGCACCAAAAAACATAACCCAACTCGTAACAGCCGTAAATCGTGAAAATATCTAGCCAGCTAGCTGTTCGATATCAATCATGATAGGGTATTATCTAGTAAAAAAAAATGTCTTTTCAGTCAACATTGACAGCTTATCGAACCATAATATGGAACTCTAACAAAGACAACATTCAAGTCCATGTTCAATAATCTATTACGTGTCAAATCCAAATGTCAAGAAAACAACTGATCAACGCAGTCTTTTGTGAAGTTCAGATGAGGAGCTTACATAAGTATGAGGTAACGGTGAAGAAGATAAACGTTAGACTTGCGAGAGAGGAATAAGACCACGAAAACTAAAATAATATATTCTCTCAACCAATAGTGCATTTTTAAACAGATTTCATTTATTATCTCTTTCTAAAAAAAGAAACGAAATGAGAATAGAATATCTATATTCAGCCAAAATTAGTTTTAAAGGAGTAGCATTTGTAAGAGGACGAGACATTTTTATTTGTCGAAGTCTCTGTCAGATCAGAAAAAAGCGTTTATATCAAAAATAACACTCAGCAATCTGCGACATGAGCTGATTAGCATGTTTATATGTCTGTTATGGTCTGTGACGGACTCATTGAAAAACCGATATTTCTATTAGAGTTGGTGAAGAAATCAAGATTTTTCCGACATCTCTGATACGTCTATAAGACAGGCTATAATGGAGATCAATTTTTGCCTCAATATACTTCAACGCTCTTAAGCACTTATGTATTATAAGAGAGCAAATGCTCATAATAGAGAACAGTTTGGCCTAAACAAAGAGTCGAAGAGATAGCAATGGGACAGAAGACTAGGCTATTCCAAATGAATCCACCTCATTTTATAGTCAGAACATTATTTTCATTCGAAATCACTGAGAATTATTTCTTTTATTTCGTAAAAGCAATGAAGGACCAAACATTATATGTAGTTAATGTGAAAGATAGATCTTTGAAATATTCGGTAGATTCAATCGAATATGAGACTTTTGTGAAAAACGACTTCTAATTAGTGCTGAAGTATATTACAAGAAAAAGGAATCGATCTTCCGCACTAAAATATACACCTAGACCATAACAAACATTTTAGTGTGCTAGTTTCAATTTTAAGCATCGTACATCTTCATTTACTGTTATGTTATCTTCATGTAGTTGTACATTTTAATTCCATAGATATTGGACTAAAAATTGTATCAAACCCATACTATTCATGTTCCAAGAGAATCAAGTTCAATATTTGTATTCATGAATTTTAGGATAAAAAACGAATTCGTACTCTTTACCAAGTCACGGCAATCTCATCAACAACCGCAGGTATGTGCATTTAGTATTATAAACTAAATGGATTGTGTTTCTAACTGATGATTGATTAGTTTCTGTTCGTCTCGTTGTCTATCAGACATGTTTAAAATGATTGACCACCTCATAGTAGATGTTATATCTTTTTTAAAAGTGTCTAGATGAATTAAAAATGAATGACTATTCTGACTGTCGGGATAGCTGTGTATATTCACTGACATTGATCATGTTTTGATTCTCTTCGTAGTTCCGTAAAAGTTTATTGTTTTTGAAAACATAATCAGCACTATCGCTGTGCGACTATAATATGAACTATGGTAAAACCACTATGATTTTAATTGAGAGTCTTCGCCACTTTGGTCATCTTTCGTAACAAGTCCAAGTGTGATTCTAAGAATAACAAATATAGGATGAATCTATTCGATTCTGTTGACGCTCATGTAGACATAAGAGAAACATTTTTGTGAAAAACAAGCGCAGATTTTCGAAATGTGAATACCACGATACGCTGTACAATTTTAAAAATTCACTTGCTTGGTGTTCTCATGAATGAAGTTTTATCGATGAAGATTATCACATAGTTCTATTCTTCAACTATATAAATATTATCATGAGAAAAAAAATTAAGAAATCGTTGCTGGTAGACTGCATGCAAGAGAGGGTTACCGGAAGTTCGCCAATAAGACTTTCGTCAATAGGACATTCGCCAATGGCGAAAGTCCAGGGGTATATTGACGAAATTCTACTGTATTTTCGCCAATTGGCGAAATTCTGATGGGTGTGTTGGCAAAAGTCCACTGTACTTTCGCCGATTGGCGAAATTCCAGCGAATGTATTGGCGAAAGTACAGTGGACCTTCGCCATTGGCGAGAGTCCTATTTGGCGAAAGTCTTATTGGCGAAGTTCCGGAATCCCGCAAGAGAAAAGATGACTAAAACAGACAAGTTGGAAAAAGTTTAAGTCTGTTAGAGGTATGTTAGGTGAGCTAATGATCAGCTTTTGTGAACTTGTGCCTACTACAGTGTATCAAATAACTAGGACTAAACATCACGCTAGAAGACCACTTCTATATCCCACCATCGATCGAAATCTGTCTCTTTTTGGTAGGCTACGACAGAAGAGAGGATGGTGACTCGAGTAGCGTTAAGATCATTTATTATCCCGATGGAAGTCAATATCAGGGAGCTATACAAAATGGTAAGCGTCACGGCAGAGGTACTTTGAATCTGCCGAACGGTGACAACTACGTCGGCGATTGGGTCAATGACGAAATAAACGGACAAGGTGTGTTTACATGGTCAGACGGTAAGCGATATGAAGGAAACTGGAAAGATAGTAAAGAATATGGTCATGGTACCTTGGATTTTGCCGATGGCAGAAAATACGTAGGCAACTGGGTCAACGGCATGATGAATGGACATGGAATATTAACATTGCCGAATCGTGATCGATATGAAGGGAATTGGCAAAATGACAAAAGACATGGGCAGGGCACTATGAATTTTGCTGATGGCAAAAAATACGTAGGCAACTGGATGAACGGTATGATGAATGGACATGGAATATTAACGTGGCCAAATCATGATCGATACGAAGGGGATTGGAAAAATGACAAAAGACATGGATATGGTACCTTGAGTTTTGCTGATGGCAGAAAATACGTTGGCAGCTGGAACAACGGTATGATGAACAGAAATGGAGTTTACACATGGCCCATTGGTGATCGATACGAAGGAGATTGGAAAGATCGAAAAAGGCATGGGCAAGGTACTATGAATTATGCCGATGGCAGAAGATACGTGGGTAACTGGATCAACGGCACAATGACTGGATATGGAATGCTAACATGGCCAAATTATGATCGCTACGATGGGGACTGGAAAGATAACAAGAGGCATGGATATGGTATCATGAATTTTGCCGATGGCAGAAAATACGTAGGCAACTGGATCAACAACATGATGAATGGACATGGGATATTAACATGGCTAAATCACGATCGATACGAAGGAGAATGGAAAGACGGCAAAAGGTATGGGTATGGTAGCATGAATTTTACCGATGGCAGAAAATACGTTGGTAACTGGGCGAACGACTTGATGAATGGACTTGGAATATTAACATGGCCGAATCATGATCGATACGACGGGAATTGGAAAGATGACAGAAGGCATGGACATGGTAGCATGGATTTTGCCGATGGTAGAAAATACGTGGGCAACTGGATCAACGACACTATGATTGACCATGGAGTAGTTACATCATCAGATAATGATCAACCCAGAACAACAATCACAGAAGATATTTTGCCTCATCAAGTTACCTCCGTTTCCCCTGATGATGGAACAGAAAATATCAAAACAATCGAAGACGAGGACGATTCGGCAGAGGAGTGTTCAGGATCGCTATGGTGTCACTTTAAGAAAGTAATGAAACCACGCAATCGCCTAACTAAATCTTAACTTAGATCCATCACTACTGTTAAAACTAATCACGTGAAAAGTTCATTACAGGCGAGATTTTTTTGTAACTTTATTTTTTATTATAATGCTGTCATCAATGATCATTAGCACAACTGGCTGCAATACATGAAATGAATACTTTTAGTGGAATTCTTAGAGAATTTAAATGTAGAACAGCATGGGGCTACTTTAATCATAAATGAAAGTTATCGTTGCATGTGTCAAGATCATTCATGGGGTTACAGGAGTAATATTTTAGTGTTGGAGACTATTTTTGACGCCTAAGTCATCTTTCTGGTGTGTTTTTGATAATACTTTACGCCATGGTAGTGATATTTCGATATCTCTATCATAATGAGAGACCGACGGGATATGCATGGCTTCCTTTCAGCCCTCTCCTAGGATGGGAAAGTAAAAGACGTAAGTAAACAAGGCGAGATCGAGACTCTAGGAATTGAAAAACGTTCCTGTAGTAAGACAAGAATGAAAAATTGTCGTCTCTTTTGTTCCTCATCATGATGACCATAAATTTTTTGAATTA